CTTCCCACAGCTACTGTGTCCCGTGACAATAAGGAGGAAGTCCTCTCTTGGATCAGACTGGTTCTCAGATACAGCTTCAGCTCATGATAGACAAACTGAGGTGAAGATATGATGTTGGTGTCAAACATCTCTGTGCTCCATCATGCATCTACTGAAGCTACAAGTGCTCCAGACAGCCAGGAAAGTCAGTGTGTGTGTGCACTAGAGAGGAAGGATTTCCAAATTTCCTTATGCAGCCCTACTATCCCCTCTCTGGTCCTCAGTCCTTTCTCACACAGGCAGGCTGAGAGGGTGCAGATCTTTCTGATCATACCCAGAAGTTCCTCATTGCTCCAGAAACAATGATGTCCTGATATTGCTGAACCTCAGTTCAACTGGGAGACCTCTCCTTTCACCAGTTTGGGACCCCTTTCCCTAAAGAAGCCAGGAGTCTCATCCCATGTGTGAGCTGTGATGGCTGTAGGCCAGCTCGGCACCTCTCCTCTGTTTCAGGCACATCAACAGTAACAAGGGGGAAGCAGCAGAGGTTAAAGCAGAAGTAAATCTCTTCACTGAGAGGGTGGCCAGTCATTGGAACAGGGTCCCAAGGGAAGTGGTCATGGCACCAAGCCTGCCAGAGTTCAGGCTGGATGATGGACAATGCTCTTAGTCATACACTTTAGTTTTAGGTAGTCCTGTGAGGAGCAGGGAGTTGGACTTGATGATCCTTATGGATCCTTTCAACCTGAGATATTCTATAATTAAGTTATGCCTTACTATTTTGTATAACTTTCAACAGTGAGCCCAGCCTGTAATATTCGAAATTTAATGTTTGAGTCTAAGTAAATTTCTGACAGGTTTTTGGGATCTTTTTGAGCCTCTAATGAACGTCCGAGCTTATGCTCCAGTTTGTGCTGTTGAAGTAAGATTGTAGGAAAGAAAAATAACTTTAAACAAAAATAACAGCACCCAGACACATACTGAACGGACTGATGTGAAAAACATGCATGTGTACTGCACTGAATTTCTCCATGTCACAGAAATATTGACATGATGGTATGCCAATTAATCCCACAAAAGCTGAATTATTTTGCAGAGCAGTAAACAACAGCTCTGATTTTTACCCCAAGCCTCATCACATACAACCAGTTTCAAATCTTAGAATGAAAGTAAAATGGACTTTTCTTTGGGACCTAATTAGTTTTACAGTGCTGAGACTTGTTTTTTGATGTTTCTTTTGTTCCCCTCTCTTATAGACAGAAACTCTGCTTCTTCAGGTGGAAAAGAGAAATCTGTGTGACTGTGTAGCTGTCAATCTACTGAACTAAATCCTGGAGGCCACCAAGGAGAGTCACCTGTTCAGCAGTTTTTAAAATGCAGCTGTATAAAATACAGCTTTATGGAATTAATGTTGCAAGCATGTATGCCCCAATGTACCGGTGAAATTAGGGGCCTGTGTCTTATGTATTTGTCTGCTCTGTATTTTTTTAAAAGAGTACCCTCTTTTCACACTTGCTGGATTGCCAGTAATGGCTCAATTCAATAAATCTGTTACTTAATATTAGAGTGGGGGAAAAATGTACCTGCTTTGATTTTTAAATCAGAGTTTGCCAAGTGTAACCCACAAGATAAATTTGGCCAACAGTGCTGTAGAGACACTTGCAGCTGTTTTTTGTCTCCAATATGAACATATCTCTGTGGTAACTTACCCAGTTATATTGAGACAGGACACTGTGGTCTCTGTAGGCTTTGCTTGTGTATTACAGATGATGGAAGTCCTTTCTGTTTGTTGTCTGCACTGTGACAACCTTGAGGCATGTTGTAGTTCTGTCAGCTATAATGAGGTGTGTGTCATGAGGAGTTACATGTGTGCTGTGCTTGCACCAAACCAGTTTATATCTCAGTGCTGAGTTTTCTGTTATCCTGCATAAGAGTATTATTTTCTTCAATTAAAGTGTTTAGTTTCTTCCCCTTCTTCCCTAGACACTCCATTCTTAACCTAGTGTATCTCTAAATAGCTTTATCTTGGCAAGTCAAATGGATAGTATACAAAAAGGAGAAGAAGGGTATGACTAGGCAGCCTTGCCAGTTCCAGCTGTACCAAATGCTGCCACCAGCAACTGCTCAGCATCACATTGAAGGAAAGCTCCGTGCAGTGCCAAGAAGTTCCTTCCTGGGAGTGTGCCTTATTTTACTTCAAGTGAAGCACAGTGATTAGGACACACATATTTGGTCCATTCTGTGACATACTGAACTCTGACTGTTTTGGTTTTTCCTTGTAGTCGCCTTTGAAATCTGCTCTTTTTGTTTCAGGCATGAAGAAAGACTTGTGTACCTGAAAGCTGAGATCGTTTTTATCCTCAACTCTACCCCTTTATTGTAAGACAGTGTCTACTCACAAATCTGAATTAGGTTGTAGATGCTTGGAGTTTGTCTGACATGAATTATTAACTATCTCGAACCATTCCAACATTGAGCTGTGGGGTGCTAACTTGGCTTGGGAAGGGAATGGGTCATCTGAAGACAAAAATCTCTTCAGCTGATTTGGAAGAAAGTGCCTGCCTGTCGCCTTGCTTCTCTAACTAAACTGATGTGACTTTGCTGGAAGTGGATGAGAGAGGAAATTAAACTACTGCTCTGCCAGTGAAGTTCTAGGTATGGTAACAAAGAGCTGGGGGAGTAGGGGAACACCATAGAGAGCCTGAGTGGCTTCCCAAACCTGTCCAGGGCTTGGAAAGTGTGCAACTCCTGCACACTGAGAAGTGCATCATGCTCTCTTGTGTGGGACCAGGACACAGGCCAGCACAGAAGCTCAGTGTGAACTGAAGAGGGGATTCGGATGTTATTTTTCCAAATTCCCTCAGAGAGCACCTGTGCTGTGTGTTTTTCCCTAAGTCCATTCACACAGCCTGGGAGCACTGGCACTGCTGATATCAGGCTGCTTGACAAAACCAGAGTCACTGCAAGCTTCACCTGCAGCTCCCCTCCCAGAGAGTGGGAAAGAGCAACAGTCCTTACCCATGCATGGCAGAGCACTCTTAGGACTTCTGGAGCAAAGCCTCCTTTGGAGGGCTTCAGCTGATCCTGGCTGCAGCAGAGTGGTTTCTCAGAGCTTCTTGGCTTCTGTTGCACTTGGCTCGTCCCCGTCTTGTTATAGCTTGGCTTTGTGCCCCTGCTTTGCTCTGGACCTGTCTTATCTGTCCTCTCTAGTCTGGCACTGCCTTCCCTCTAGTCCTGGGGATTTCTCAGTGAACCATCCTGGTGAATCTGTGTGTAGGTACTGCAGGTGTGAGTCGTGGAGCCGATCGTCCTCAAGTCAGCTGAGTCCAGCTGGAGCACTGCCAGAGCAAGAAGTGACACTCCAATTTCCCACGGAGTGAACACAGTGCTGAGGAACACTGCCATCTCATTCCCAGGGAAGACATTTTGGGAAAGGGCCTCTTTTTACCTGAAAGCCAACATTCCCATCGCAGAACTTGGAGGAAGTCCCCGAAGAGTTCAGGTGGCGAAAGCTCTGCTCCCTAAACTGAGTTAATCTGTGGACTGTCCCCCAGGGTGCTGTAATCTCACTGGCTTGTGACAGGCGTGGACAGGAACCTAGCCATGGTCAGTCACTGTTTTTTCCAGATGTTGAGTAGTAAGGTGTTCTGGCACAACTGGAAACACCTGTAGATGTTCATGAATTTTTCCCTTTGTGTCTGCACAGACACTGGCTTGAACAAAAGAAAACATGACCATGTGGAAATATTTTCCTTCAGTCATTTTGCTATGATTTTATGGTTCACGTTGTTAGAACTGGGGAAGTGAAACACAGGACAAAACTGGGCTGTTGCCCCAAGAGAAAGCAGCCAGGAGGGGGATAGATGGGGAAAGGGGAATAGGGTCATAAAAAAACACATGCATCCTTCTTGCTGTACACCTTGTCCTGTTTTATTCCCTGTGCTACGTTATGTGGTGCCTCTTACTTTGTGACTGCACTGAAAGCTCTCTGGGGCAGAGAAGTTGTCATGTCAGTAGCACTGTCAGGTGGCCATCACACCTTTAAATGTTGTCAACAACAACAAACAAAAATCACAACGTAAAATATACTGGCCTGTTGCTTCAGTTTCAAACATGGTATTTTTTTATGCACAGGTTTGCAGTTTAATCTTCATGTAGGTATTCCTTAATCTTCCAACTCCAGCTTTGCTGTTCCAACTGTGACTTTGTAGAGATGGGGAGTGGTTGGTATTTTCAAGACCTCAAAGTGCCTGAAGTTTAAAAAGTGGCATAATAAAAAGAGTTTCAGGCATAGATGCCTTGAGAAAGGAAATGCAAATATCTGCAGATATTCTATTTTTTACATTGATCTGCCTACAGTTTTCTTTCCTGATAGTCAGGGCTGTCGTCATTTGATTCCTGGTCTGAAATTCCATGTACTTTCTGAAAATTTGCTAACATATCAGCTTGTCTTCATTAGCCTTGAGGACCTTTTGCTGTTTCAACAAAGTAAGTGATATTGCAGTTTTCTGGTCATTAAGTGACAAAACTGTAGCTTGTTCCCTTTGTCAAGAGAGTCTGAAAATGGAACAGGACTGGCAACCCTCCCATTATTCTTTTCATATAGCTTCACTCTTCTCTGAGGGTCCAAATCAGCTGGAAAGATTGCTGACTGGTGATGCAAGTTCAACCTTTCCGTAGAGTAAGCAGAGTGCAGATTTCAAGGGATGTAGGGTGATAGACCAATTTAAGGCCATGATGACCATCCTGATCGGTTATGGGAAACACCTCAGCACCTGGCAGGGGCATTCCCAGAAACCCATTGCCAGATGATAATGGGTTACACAAAAAGGGACAAAGACACCCCAATGGCTTCCCAAAAGTCCTCAACAAAATGGGGAGACTTCCCAGGAACAGACTGATAGGATTAATGAAGGATGGAGTGCTATGGAAATAGCACGGCCTTTCCTCACAACATCCTACGGGAACACAGGGACCTGACCCTTAGGCCTATGTCATCTGTCTATCACCCCAAAAATCATTATTGACTATAGTCACTCAAACTGCCTAAGAAAAAAAAGTATAAAAAGAGATCGGACATGAGCAAAATCAGGGAGAAGTTCCATCATCTCTGCAGGGGTAACTGATGATCTACCCTGTCTCCTTCCACTCCTTCGGGTACTGTAGGGGTGAGCAGCCATTTACTCTGCTTTCTTTAGCTTGACCTTGCCTTATAATTTATAGATCACTGTCTTTCACTGTTACCCCATAGATACTTTATTTGCTAATTGTATTTTGCTACTTTGCTTTATAGATACTAATTTTATCTTGCCCTACACCTTTTAACTTACAGGGTACATATCTTACTTTATATTCTTTTTGTTGTTGTTTTTGTCCTATATTGTACTTTATTGCCTACTCGTTGTTCGTGGTTTGTTTTAAGGTGTACGTTTCCTTATCTTAGTGAGTTGAAATGTGTGTTAGTGGGAAGCAGGTATATTCTTTCTTTTTTGCTTTGTGTTAACAAGTGTGTTTAGATTTTGTTCTAGTCTTTGTAAATCGGTCTGTCGCGGGGGGGTTGCTTGAGTTTTGTATTAAGGTTTAGGCAGTTCTGTTGTTTTGTAGAGCGTGCTTCTGGTTTTTGGTTTTTTATTAGTTAAGTGCAATCATGCAGTTAAATGTTATCACCAGCGACGCAAACCCTACGGTAGTTTGACACATACTTGTATTAATAAAAGTTATTTTGTGAGCTGCTAGAGTCAGTCCGGTTTGTTTCTGGTGCTGGCAGTCTCGTAACTTGTAGGAGAACTTTGCTGAGAAGGTTCTCCATTGCTATTAAGTGCCATCCCCATATCAGGGTATCAAAATTCCTGTCCATCACAGTGAATCTGTCTAGCAAAGGGTGTCTTTAGGTGAGGCACAGACAGACCATTTTGGGCTTTAAAAGGCTTTGACATTCTGGGGACACTGATAGCCAATAAAAAATGTATTAATACAGGTGGAAAATCTTTGCATTTCTGCCCCTTTTCACGTGACAAGGGAGAACAGTGTTCAATTTCCTGTTTTGGGTTGGGGAGGGTTTTGAATATTCTCTGTGTGTGCATTAATAGCTGCACTTAACACTTAATGTTCATGCCCAGGCAAACAGAATGGCAGCCTCAGCCCTGAGCTACATCTATTTTTTAGATTTTTTCTAAGAATTGGTGTGTGGGGTTTTGAGGTTTTGTTTGTTTGTTTGGGTGGGCTTGTTTTTTTGGTTTTTTTAAGGCTGGAACTTTATTTTTACCCAATTTTTTTTTTATTCCTAAACTCCATAAAATATTTGGCTATGCAAAAGCCAGTAGGTACCAGAGACAGAAAAATGAAGGAATCACTCCTGCACCGAGCCTGGTGAAACTTAGCATCTTCCTTTGCATAAATTCCAACAGACTTAAAATTCCCAGTGATACCAGGTTTAGTGAGGTTATATCTATTCAGCTTTTGACTGCAACATAAAAGGATGGCCATGTTTTCACTCTGAAACTTTTCAGTTTAATATAGGGCCTGGGAGGAGACACAAATTTTTGGACCAAAACCAAAGTTACCAGCATTTGTGACTGCTTATAGCCAAGTCTTTCATGGAGGCCATCTGCAGTGCTACAAGTTGATTTGCAAAGTTCTGGGTATTGTGGGTTATTTTTCTTCCCCAGTTAAAGATCATAATTTCATCCATGCAGTTAATTTGATACACATGGTTTCTTGCCTAACCAGCTCTTGCATTCATCCTGTACTATATATACACTGTAATACAGCATCCAGCTTGTGAACCATATCTGGTTTCAGCCAACAGCACTGAATATAACTAATGCACAATTTGGTCCTGCATTGAAGCCAGAACTGAACAATATTTAAATGCCTTTTGACAGCTGGTATATTGCACATTGAAAGTATTATTTGTTTTATATACGATTGAAATCAATTTCAGTTTTACCCATGGAGGCTTGAACCATGCCCT